ACTGTGGGGTCACGGGCCTGTGGCGGGCTTGCCGCAGCTGTTGGGGTGCTGCTCGACGTTGCGGTGCCGAACCCTGGTGCGCCAAGAAACATGAACCATCCCGGCTTCCGTTGCTGCACCCGTTCGGGATGGAGATTCTAAGGAAACTTACGCCGTGGCCCTTGAATCAAAGCCTCCAGTCCCAAACTCCAGCGCTGGGGCCCCGAAGGGTTTAGGATTTCGGATTGTGAGTGCGGGTCTGGGGTTTCGGGGTCTCCTAAAGGCCTGAACTCCAAGCCCTTCGAAAAGCACGGTGGTTCGGATTTGGGGATCCCAGCCGACAAGAGGCACCACCCCGGGCAAGTCAACACTCCCCCCAAAACATGGGAAGGACCCGCATCTTTTGGCAACTTAGCTGCTTCTGGGGGCCTCTGCAAACATCTCTCATGATTTGAGACTCTTGTTTAGGTTGTTTTTGTGTTGGGGTGTAGGGTTTGGAATAGCCCAAACCCCCTTTGCAGCCTGTAAGCTGGCAGGCAGTGGCTGGAGCACTGGCCCCACTGGCCTAGGGTCTCTCAGAAGAGCTCGGGGAGGGCAGGGTGGGTCGATGTTCAAATGAGTTCAAACCCTACTCAAATCCTAAACTCCCAGACCTTGCCAAGCTTGACCCCAAGTATGGAGGTTCATGGATTGTCAGAGGTAGGGCCATAGGTAGGATCACCATCGTTGTAGCTAGTTATTCCCTGGAGCACTTAGAACCTTGCTACAACAGGGTCAGCGAGGGACGAGTCCGCAGCCTTGAGGGGTTGTGTCGTTTGGGTGGATGCACTTGACTCACACCTGCAACCGATTCAGCTGCTCAACCCAAGCCACGATTCCTTTGCAAAATGTCAATTCCAAAGACGACACCTGAAACTGAGTACCGCAGCTTTCAAGAAGGAACAGGAGCACTTTGAAACCTCGAGTCTTGGGTTTGTGTTTCGTCTGAGGCATCGGCCCCACATGCTCCACCGGCCGTCGACGCACTCGTCACAGCTCTGCGTGTTGCATGGTGCCACCTCCACCAGCGGGCCCCATTGCAAAACTATGAGAAGGCTTTCTTCAAAAGCCCAAACCACCAAACCCTTACCTTTTCTGTGTAGTGGTTTGGGCACTTTTACCATGGTTTCAGGTGGAACCAGCTTTGAGGGTCATGGGGCCAGTATCAGTAAGGGACTCAGGGCCACCGTCAAGGATGGTCAGGCCTTCAAGCCTCTCCCCAAAGTGGGCGACGAGCAGGATTTCTACATGGACGGTTACCGACTCATAATTTCCGACGGGTGTTTTCCGGCAATCCGAAAGCTATGCGCCGAAAGCCATGGTCGTTGAAGACTCTGAAATTTGTACCCAAAGGCTAAATCCCCAAAGACGAGCCCAATTCCCTTAAGGCCGTTAGCCACACTCCAAGCTCCCCACCCTCAACCACACTCCAAGTGCCGCCCCCCAAGGCCTCATACTTGTCGTGGGCTTCGCACAGTCGCCCGCCATTTCGAGGAGAGACCTACTTCACGAAGCATGCCAAGAGTCGCCTCCCTCTCGAGTCTGCAACCCCAACCCTGCAACCTTAAAACCCCAGAGCCTACCTCAAGCCCCGCAGCCCCTCTAACCCTGAAGCTAGCCCCAAGCTGTCCTCTCTCGGTACTTTCCAGCGGGCCGAACCCCAAAGACAGTGCGCAACGGCACCACTAGAATTTTCAAGGCCTCAAGTGCAGGTCGTGTGAAGTTCGGCGTTGGGAGACTAGGGAACTTAGGGAACTCAGGGAACTCAGGGAACTCAGGGTTTAGGATTTTAGGGTTTAGGGTTTGGGGTTCAGGGGGTTGGCGGCCCTAAATCCAGGCACCCCTGCGGCGATGACACGATTTCGGCGCTTGATGCCCCCGCCGCAGGTGCAGGTGCACGCGCTCCACTCTTCCCACCTCGTCTTAGGCTGGTTTAGGGTTTAGGGTTTAGGGTTTAGGGTTTAGGGTTTAGGGTTTGGGGTTTGGGGTTTAGGATTTAGGGTTTAGGGTTTAAGGTTTAAGGTTTAGGGAGTACTGTAGGGGCCTAAATCATGAAAACAGGGTTTTGGGGGACATTCCAGCATAAGACCATTAACAATTCTTCCGACCCCTACGTTGCTTGTTTGCGTCTAGAGTCTGGATTTATTCACTTGTTGAAACTCTCTTGTTTGATTGTCTCCTGACCCATCCATCAAGCTTCTCAGACCTCAGTGCCCACATTCGTCTCATGAACCCTCCTGGATACTGGACCTACATACCGCTAACCCCTAAACCCGAAACCCTAAATTTCTGCTGCACAGCCTTCCAGCCAATCCCATCTTCAATCAGCTCTCAGACTCGGAACCCCGTACCAGGCGCACGACGTGCCCCAGACACAGTCGATGCCTTCACACTGCCTCTTCTCGCAGGCTTTGACCTGAGAGTGCTGAGTTTGGGGTTTTAGGGCTCAAGGTTTGCGGATTGAGGATCAAGGTCTAGGCCTGAAAGGTAATAGGGTTCGTTCTACATGAAGGTACCTTGTGGGGCCTTCCTGTTCGCGGGGATCCTGCGGGCGCCCTAATTGACGAACCCGTGGTCCGGGAGGCCTCGGTGCTGGCATGGCTAGTCGTGGGAAACATGGGGGGGGGGGGGGGCGGTCAGAACAATAACTTCTTTCCCCGGGCACAGGTCAATCACTCGTTGCTATGCCACGATCACTTCCGGTGTTGTGCAACGATCGCTTTTCTGAGGTATGTGTTCTGCATTTTCAAATCATTTTCCTCGGCCGGTAAGGACTACTGACACATCGATTCCAAACCCTGAACCCTAAACCCCGAAGCCCCCAAAGTCCTAAGATCCAGCTCCCGAAACTCTACCTCGGCGCCTCCTCCAGTGCGGTGTTGCAGCCGAGGGTGTCCCCAATCTCCAAGATCTGGCGGATTGAGCCCTTAACCCCGAAGCTCTGTGTACGGTCTAAGGTTCAGCGTCAAAGGGCTTTTGCGGGCTTCTAGGGCTTAAGCACCGCAACCTCCTGGAATTCAGTCCATCCCGGAAAAGCATGCCATTTCTGGACCTGAGAGCTCCCCATCCCTACAACAAAACCATCAACCCAAACTTTAAACCCTCAGTTTGGGGGGCCCCAAAGCCCGGAAGCTCCTTCCGCGTACGCATGGTCGCGCCGATGCCACACTCCTTTTCGGATCGCTGGTGGAGCGGCAATCAAGGCTACTAGGGTGGAAGAAATGCTGACAATTGCGATGGCAGGGATTGGTGCGCTTGGGGTGGCGGAGGATCTACACCTCAACTCCTTGTCTATGGGCTTCAGAAGTCCCTTTAGGGCTGAGAGCCTAGAGGTTCAGAGGCTTCAGGGGTTCTCGGGCTTCGAGGCAGCCCAAACCTGAGCCCCAAGCCCTTCGTTGGAGTTGACTCGAAGGCCCAAGCGGCCCAAGTGCAAAAAATAGCAACAGCTTCGGGATTTGGGGTTTACAGATGTATATATGTATACTGTACACATACACGTATATTGCCAAACATGGTACGTATGTGTATAGATACATAGATAGATAGATAGATAGATAGACAGATAGATAGATAGATGGACGGATGGATGGATGGATACATACATACATACATAAATATGGTTACCTATATAGATATATTTACATATGTTGTATCGTTGTGTATCACATATGATGTCTCAGGGGAGTGCGGATGTACAGGGCGTCCATTCCGTCCACAATGACCTGGAGAGCTCTGGGTTTCAGGAATAGGTGGTTTTTGAGGGTTCAGGGTCTAGGGTTTGGGGTTTAGGGTTCAGGGTTTGGGGTTGCGGGTTTGAACGAATGAGCCCATGCAAGGCAGGTGTGCTGGCTCTGCAGCCACGTAGAGTGAGTAGGAGTCATGACGCTTCAAAGCCGCCCGGCCCCCGCCCACAACCACAAAAGCACAAAATGAGAATGTAAGGGACAAAGACCTTGGCCTTAAGGCTCAATGCTCTGTGCTGACAGGGGGCTCCAAGTAGGGGCCGGAGGGTTTTAGGACTTTAAAGAGCTTCCCAAGAAGACCCCCCCCAACTGCAAGAAGCCACCGACCCAGGGCCCCAAAACCCGAAATGGCAACCTGCAACCAAGGCCCCAAAGCCTCAACTGCACGCAAATCCTGAAGGCCACATAAACCCTAAACCCCAAACCCCAAACCCTAAACCCTAAACCCCAAGCCCCCGAGCCTGAACCCCTACAAAGAACCGTTCAGGAGCGCACAGCCGGCAGCTGCCATGGTTGCACTCCCGGTGGCCTCAGCCAGGGTGCTTTTCGGGCTTCGGGTTTAAGGTTTAGGGTTTAGGGGGTCGGGTTTAGGGATCTTTGGGATTTATCAGGTTGAGGTAATCTCTTAAACCCTAATGCCCCTAAATCCTAAAGCCCTAAAACCCTGCAGCCCTAAACTCTGGGTTGAGGGGTTAGGTTTCAGGGTAACCCTTGAATCCTCAACCCTGAACCCAGAACTCCCCCTAACCTGGGCTCTTCCTCTGAACAACTCCACCTCTTCCCTCACCTGGCAGGTGCCTAGGCTCCCGGGCCGCAACCCTCCGTCTCGCTGAGGATTGCTCCTTTTCGAGTTTATGTCGGTTTGAGGTGCGCAAGACCCCCTACAAGAGGCAAAAAGCCCCTGCAATCCCAAACCCCCAAATACCATCAAACTCTTAGTGCCCCAGATGACACTGAACCCTACACATCCCTAAGCCCCAACGAACTGCCAGCACGCAAACTTCAGGTAACCTTCAACCCATGTCAGCCTTCTTCCCTCAGGCTCTCGTGGTTGAGGATGTTAGGGCGCAGGGGATGCTTGTGGTTCCGGGGGCTCTAGCCACGTTTGTAGGCTTCTGGGCTTTTGGAGTGCCATGCGGCCGAACGGCCCAAGTGCTGGCCCCCAAGCCCGAAACCCCCGAAAGCGTCCAAGGGTCGGGAGGTTTTACGGATCACAGGCTTTGGGTCGACAGGGCTGTCCTACACGACTTGCTTGGCCGCCCAGGACGCAGAGACCTTCGCCCTTGATGGTCCTGAGAGGCTGGCCAGTTCAGGGCTGACGGTTTTCGAGGCTCAGGGCTTCCGGAAGGCTTAGACGTTTCCGGCAGGTGACGGGCTTCTCAGGTTCAGGGGAGAACGGCGACATGCATTGAGGGGCTCAACCCTATTCAAGGCTTTGAGTCCTATGACCCTTGAACCCCTAAAGCCTTGAATCCCAGTCTCTGAAGCCCTTTACCCTTCAAGCCACATTTAAGCCCTGAACCTGACAGAAACGCCTTGAAGGCCTAAATCCTTTAAGACAGGTACGCTGCAGGGCCCCGCGTTTTTGCATGTCTGCCGTAATCCCGTCTTTTTGGTTGGTACTATTGCATGCCTGTCTTCATTTCATCTTTCTCAAAGGACGCATAAGACATGGTTCCATGGTTCGACTGGTTCGGCTGTTGTTGATCCCTGCTTCTGCGCGATTAACACCCGAAGCCCAACACAAAACCCGTTGAAACCCCAAACCCGTTGAGCCTCTTAATCTGCCCTAAGCCCTAAATCAACACATCGAACCCTAAGCCTTTGGAGCCCCACACCCCAAACCCTAGGAGCCCTAACCCCGAAAATTTTGGAGTCTAGAGCCTAAACCCTGATAAACCCTAAACCCTTCCAACCCTCCACCCTAATCCCAAACCTTAAACCCTTAACCCTTCACCCTAGACTCTAGACCCTAAACCCTCAACCAAAACAAATCTAAACCCTAAACCATAAAAAATGCGTAAACCCTAGCCCAGACCGGCTTGAACCCTACACCAGCAACATCGCAAGGATCACGGGGCCTGGTCCGGTGCTTCTGGCCACCGCAGGTGGCGGAACAGTCCGTCCACATGGACCTTCATAGGGGTTTGGGGTTTGGGGTTTAGGGTTTCGGGTGTAGGGTGTAGGGTTTAGGGTTTAGGGCTTAGGGCTTAGGGTTCAGCATCTCAAGTCAACGCCTTCACTAGTCAAGCAGCTTGTCAAACGACGGAGACATGCGCACCCGCCGCGCGCATTGGGTCCCACGACATGAAGAAACTATTTCACTTCACATCGAATTCCTCAAGCCAGCTTCCATCCTATTTTGCACAATGCGCCTGAAATCTTGCACAACGCCCACGAAATTTGCACAATGCCCACGAATTGCCCACGAAATGTTGCACAATGCCCCCCGAAATTTTGAACAATGCCCAAACACACACTACCCTCATTTGTTTTTTGCACAATGCCCACGAGGCTTTTCCACAATGTACACCAATGGCTTAAGGGCTTAAACAGTGAAAATAAAAGGCTTAGGGAACCGTCAGAATGAACATAATGATTCCCCATTTGTCCTTATTCTTTCTGATCTTCTCCCCCCCCCCCCCCCCCAAAAAAAAAAAAAAATCGTGAGAATAAAAACGAATGTAAATGCTAATAATAAAAACAATAATCATCAATAAATGACCAGTAATACGTATGCCATAACAACAAGAATCCCGAACCCGACTCCCTTTTGAACCCCAAACCTGAAACCCTAAACCCTAAACCCTAAACCCTAAACCCTTGCGAGGCCCTGGCCAGGAGGTGAACTCACAGCTGGGCTTGGGCTTGTCCCAGTCCGGCTCAGGGCAGCCAGCCTCGGGAGGACACGGGGGGTTGTGGGGTTTGCAGGGGTTAGGGTTTAGGGTGTAGGGTGCAGGGTTTAGGGTTTAGGGTGTAGGGTGCAGGGTTTAGGGTTAAGGGGGGTTGGGGGGGTTGGGGGGGCATTGGCTTGTATTTCGGAAAAGTGTGGTTTCGGGGTAGTGAGGTATTCGGGAAGAAATTCCATGCTCCTGCAATTCCAAGACTTGCGAAAATCATCCGTGCCCTTTGGGCGCATGCCGGGGTGTAGTCACGAACGATGGGAACCGTAGTAGACGCTGCTCAGCAGGCTCAAAGGCCCCACACACGGGATAAAACATGAACATCTACTTATGCCGAAGTATTTAGATAGAAGCCCTAAACCCTCCAAACCTTTAAGCAACCTATGTAAAGGCGGTACAAACCCTGTACAAACCTTCCAAAACCAAGACACCCGCATACGCTACAGATACAAATCCTATAAAACCCAAAAAACAAAAAATCTTGGGAGGCGGCTGTCTGATTCAGGTCGACGTCGCAGACCTTGCCTCCATTCCTTGGGCTCCGGCGATGACTCTTGGATTTTAGGGTTTTAGGGGTTTAGGGGTTTAGGGTTTAGGGTTTGCGTTTTTTGTTTTTTGTTTTTCTTGGGGGGTGGGGGGGGGGGGGGGGGCGGAGGTAGTTGATGTGACACTTCTTGGAGACTCTGAAGGCGTCTGAGTTAAACATCGCACATGGACCTCAACTCATCGAACACCCGATCAACAGGGCAAGTTGTCTCTAGGCCCTAAACCCTAAACACCTACAAAAATCTTATCGAATGAACAGCAATAGAGAAGGCCGGGTTTGTAGGCCCCGGAGTTCGAGGAATCCTTTGGGTTGCGTTCCCTACGTCCTGAACCCTAAACCCTAGATCCTAGTCCCGAATGCTCTCGCACGCCCAACCTCCTAGCAAAGCCACAATACCGAAAGGCTCGAACTCCCTCAAGTGCTGCTCGAGGTTCATCTCGGTCTGCAGGACGTCGCGGAAGCGGAACTTCTGGTAGGGTGATAGGTGACTGCACCTGAAGACTGCTTGGTGCATCCCAAGGGGGGTCCTGCGAAGATTTGTGGTGCAGGATTCCATAGACGAGGGGTGCAGGATTCCATTCGCACCACTTCAAGCATGGCGAAACGATTTCCGTAGGTTCTTGCTAGGGATCTTGTTGAGGATCTTGGAATGAAGCTGCCATAATCTGGGTTAACAGGGACCCAATGGCAAACCCTAAGCCCTCAGCCCTTTAAGCCGGTAGGAGGTCCCGGAACCCGAAGACCCCACGACCCCAGCTTAGCTCATTCTGGGGTTCGGGTTTCCGGGCTTGGGGTTGAGGGTTGAGGGTTTGGGGTTTGGGCTTTTAGGGTTTAGCGCTTGGCGCGGCTGGGGGTTTGGGGCTTCCCGGTATGGCAACTTGAGGGAATTCCCTGACTCCCCCTAGCTCAGGAAGCAGTGAAGTTTTTAATGCCCTGCAAATCTGCAAGTACTGTTCAACTCACCACCCCCCCCCCCCCCCCCCCCCCGCAACACAAACATTCCCATGAAACCCTGTCTTATACGGTCCGGGGGCTGGTAAATAAGGGGGCGGGAAGCAATCTGGCACAGCCTCTTGGCGCACCAAAACACCTGAAATCACGTGGGTGCTGCTCGAAGCTAGTGCCTCCTAGTCGGGTCCTATTCAGAATGAAACCTCCCTTACAGGGTCTAAAAATAAGGAAGGGGACCTCAATAAACAAACAACTCCCCCATACGAAGTCCCAAAAGACCAGAAGTTTTCTTAGGGTGTAGAGCCACGCTGGGAGCCCCAGCCCCTCCCACATGCTCCAGTCTGAGAGAACACAGGGCACAGGGCTGTCGCAAGAGTCCTCTCCGAGAGACGGAGTATAAAAAATATCTCTTCCCCATATGGGGCTTTCCGATAATCGGGGTACCTTAATGGGGTCCTCATTATGGGGGAATCCTACTTCTTGGGGGGTCTATATTTGGGTCCCATATTTTCGTAAATTCCATATCTCATGGTCTCCTTGCGATCCTGAAAGGCTTTTTGGATTTTGCACGTGTCTACTTAGGATTTTCAGGGCGTTTTATCAATGCAGGAAGGGTAAGGCAGGCTTTGAGGCTGAGTTCACAGAGGGGTTAGGGTCTCTTCGTAGACTGTTCCTTTGGTTTTGAGGGTCTTGAGGGTTCCATGGGTCAATATGAAAGAAAGATCCATTGCATGCAGTATATTGGTGATACACACATATAGTGTGCACACACAGAGTGTTTGCAAGCAACCGTCGTTTTTGTTGTGAGGAAATTCACAGAGTGGAATGCTCACAGTTGTAAGCAGCCTAAACCTGCTGCAGCCTGTGCAAGGATCAACATCAACCAAACACAACTTCAATGTTTATGATCCAAAAAGAAGTTTCAAGTCACACGTACTCGACAGCTTTGTCTTTTCTCGCAAAAACTGGTTTTGGCTGATAAAAGCTAGATTTGCTTGCAGAAAGCATCATCGTTCGCAGGTTAGGGTGCGGAACCCCGCCTTTCCAAAATGCACCTTCCCAAAATGCCTAAACCCCTGAGCCCTGAAACCCAACCCTTTGCGTCACAAACCGAAAGGTCTACGTGTCACCTAAACCCTGAACCCTACACCCTAAACCCTAAACCCTAAACCCCAAACCCAAAACCCCCGATTCGGTCCTGGTTGCAGGGCTGCCTTGGCAAGGGGCGCTAGGTAGAAGGCTGCCCTAGGCCTAAACCCTCTTGGGTGTGTGGCGCTTAGGGGGTTTAGGATTAGCCCTCAAAGGCCCCGCTCCCTGAACCCTGCACCCCTCAAAGCCCCTTGCGCTCTTGGCTTTATCATTTCGGGGCTTGGGACTTAGGACTTTAGACTTTAGGGTTTCAGGCCCAAACTTTAACCAAAAAAAGAAGCTCAGCTCAATCCATTCACCCCTCGCTAGCTTGAGCCGCGAAAAGAAAGGAAACCCACAGCCAAACTGAGGACGTCGGCAAGCACCCAATCGGAAGCCACAAACCAACCCCAACTCCAACAACACAAAGACAAAACGCCCCAACGACGAATGCCCCTCAACCTCAACTCCACCACTCCGGAAAGCAAATCACTCAACTTGCTCCCAGGGTTTATCGGGTAGCTCTGGGGGGCCAAGATATAGTCTTAGAGGAAACAAGGCTGTGTATGGCAGTCATCTCTATCCAGCATGAGGCCCCCTCTAGGGTCAAAATGGTCTCGACTGGCAATGGGTTGAGGTTTTAGGGGGTTTGGGGGTGGATGGTTTAGGCTAGGGTCGAAGGGCTCAGGGGGTTTGAGCTCTTTGGGAGCTAAACCCGAAACCCCAAACGGAAGCTTGGGCCACGGCGTCTGGCGCACCACGAGGCCCTGATTGTAGAGGTCTTCCTGGCCGCGGAGGTTCAGGCTTGCAGGGTGCCACGGTCGACGTGAACGGTTTTAGGGCTTTAGGGCCGCAAAACATCGTGACATCCGCCATTCATGATAAGAATCAGCCTCCGATCGTCATCCCGGAAGCCTTATCCCACAACCCGAAAATCTCCAGACCTCTGAATCTTCAACCCTTGCAGCGCCAACCATGCATGATAGCCCCATTCAGGCGTGCACCAGTGCACCCAAGGGGGGCCTAAGTTTAGAACAACCCTTGGCCCCAAACCCAGCTGAGTCGAGGACAGGGGCGCAGGGCTGGCCCCCATACATCGCCTCCTGGATGACGCGGCGCATGCGGGCCTGTGGGCCGCCGGGACAAGGGGATTGGGCGAAAATCGGGGTTCCCTTTTTTGGGGTATGCTGGGTGTTTTCCTAATTTGTGGGCACCCACATGTGGCTGTCTTTTGCGAGAAAGCCCTACTCCTGTGGCCTGCCATCCCGTGCCACAGCTTTTGCTGCAGCTGGTCCACCTGGCATGGGGCACTAGGAGTGCATTGAAAGGGTTCGAATCTATAGGGTTCAGTTCTCGATGCCGAGGATGCCCCCCAAAGCCCCAAACCCAAAACCCTGAACCCTAAGCCGGAGCCCTAAACCCTACACCCTAAACCTTAAACCCTAAACCCTAGACCCTAAACCTTAAACCCTCCACCTCAAAGCCTCAAAACACTGCCAGGGGAGCTCTGCCCAGTCTGACAGCTCGCAGTCGATGGCATGGGACGCTTGGCAGGGCCGGGTCTCGTTCCAGGCGCCTGGACCAAGGCTTTCTTACATATGGGTTTAGGGTTTAGGGTTTAGGGTTTAGGGTTTAGGGTTTAGGGTTTAGGGTTCAGGGCTTAGGGTTTAGGGTTCAGGGTTTAGGGTGAGGGCTTCGGTGTAACCTTAATCTGGGACTATCGTGTGGGGGCTTCGGCCGCGAGGGGGAGGAAGAAGCTTGGTGTTTAGAGCAGTTCTCAATAGGAACACCTGAAAGGGACCATTAAAAAAGAACTGCACATCTGCGACCTTAAAGTTTAGGGTTTTACGGCTGGTTTTAGAGCTGCAAGTCTGTATGGGATCTCGAGGCAATCGAACCCCTAATCTTTTCTGTGGCTCGTTCTCGACATTACGTACCAAAAGATTGAAACTTACGCGTTCTCCAGAACAAAAACCTTCCAGGACACAAGAATCAAGAAGACTGAGTGCGCGAACAAGAAGCTTTCTTGTTGCTTAAGCATGCAAACAAAATATAAACTCAAAGGAAAAGAAATCGCATTAGCGCCTCTATTTGGGATGATTCTTGGGATTCATGCGCTGAGTCTTTGCAGGTGGTGCGATGGTTAATGACGCGGAAGCCAGGAAATAATGTGGGGCCTGTTGCCTTTCATGTAGGCCCAAGTTTTTGAACGTCTTAAGGCCCACGAGCTGCGCCTATGCACGCAGATCCCAAGCCCAAGGCGTCGACGAGAATCCTCGGCAAGGGGCTGCAGGAGCGAGCTGAACCCGGGCTTAGGGAGTAGGGGGGGGGGGGTGCTTTGGGAAGTCGAGAGTCTTATGGGAAAAGTTGCGTATTTCAAAATGTCTTTTTGTCCAAAAGAGTTTGGAGTCGGGGGCCTCTCCGACTGTCGCAACATGCCAAAAGCCCTAAGCCCCCTGTATCTCGAGACCCCTTGAACCTCTTGGATCCCTGAACCTCCAACTCCGACAAACTTGGGGTTCAGGGTTTAGGATTTAGGGTTTAGGGTTTGGGGTTTGGGGTTGAGAGTTGAGAGTTTAGGGTTTAGGGTTTGGGATTAGGGGTTTAGGGACCCTTTAATCCCAAGCTACCGAACCTGGCGGATATCTCCACCGAGCGACCGCCTCGACCGGTAGCTCTGGGAGAGCTGGCAGACGGAGCACCTCATGGCAGCAACCGCTAAGCGTGGGATTTACTGGGGCTTCAGGGGATGGAGTGGGGCTTATGCGGTTTCAAGGGGCTAAAGGCACAAACGGTCGAGGGGGCTTTAGGGTTTAGGGACGAAGGCCAGCCCCAACTCGGGCGAAAAGTGCCCCATAAGTGAGGTTTGAGTTGTCCTCCATCCAACTGCCCACGAACCTCCACGCACGATTCGGGGTTGAGGGTTGAGGAGGTTCAGCTACGCAGGGCTCAGGTCGATTTCGGGGTTTGGGGGTTAAGGGCTCGGGGTGTGGGGTGTATGGTGGAATGTTCTGTTCTAGGGCTGCGTTGTCAGGGCGGTCCCTCATCCTGGTTGGGTTGCTCCTCTACACTCAAAACCTCGGCAGACCAACTGAACCGGGTCGCTCATCCAGGTGCTTGCATGAGCTCCACTCCTCCCAGGCTCCCCAGATGCAGTCCTGCAGGAGGAATCGCTGCAGCCGCAGAACTCGTGGACACCGAGGCCCCAGTAAACCCAGCAGACCCAGAAGACTGGAAAGACCCAAAAGACCCAAAAGCCCACAGCTCAAGGTTTGAGGTCCAGGAGATTAAGGCTTAGCGGGTCCCCCGGAATTTCAATCTCGGCATTTCACAGGTCAACAGGCAGAAGCGGCCTCTACGTGATCCGCACGAACATTCTGCTTTTCTTGCTGGCCCTTGTCGTGCAAACCTAAACCAGAACCCTAAACCCGGAACTCTAAACTGTAAACCCGAAACCCGAAACCCGAAACCCTAAACCCTAAACCCTAAACCCTAAACCCTAAACCCTAAACCCTAAACCCTAAACCCTAAACCTAAACCCACCGGGCCCGATCGTGCTCGATGCAGGAGGGCGGGTAGCACATCGGATCGTCCAGGCGCACCTCGGATCGCGGGGCCATAAGCCTAAATTCAACCACCAACAGGGTTGGGGGTTTAGGGTTTAGGGTTTAGGGTTAGGATTTAGGGTTGAGGGTTGAGGGTTTAGGGTTTAGGGTTTAGGGTTTAGGGTTTAGGGGGTTGTGGAGGGCTTGAAGACCCCAAAGCTGTGCAAGTGTTGAAGCCTGGTGCTCTGAAGATCTTTGTGGCTCAGGCTGGTTCAGGGTTTAGGGTGAATTGTTGTTCAAGGGCTTTGGGGCTGTTAGGGTTGCCTGGAACACGGCTCGGCTTAGGGCGAAGAATGGGGCATTGGGGTGTCTTTTGGGCTTTGGCCAGTCATGGGGTCGATAGCTGATAGGGATGATCGGGCGTCCCTTACATCTTGGGGTTTCTACGAACTACGGAGCTATCCTCACATCTCACTCCCAACCCCTTCCCCCCAATTCAATCCTCGAACCCTCGGCCCGGCGCCACAGTTTCCTTGGTGTGTCCGGAGCAGGGATTGCCACACTCGTTGTTGTGGCCGGGAACCCTGGCAGTTGTTTCCGAGTTGCCGGGAGCTCCAGAGCCCAGGGTACCCATTTGTTGGGTCTTGCGGGGGGAACTGGAGCCTCATCCCTGAAAACCAAAAGAAAGGGCAGCTCTGGGGGTGC